TTTTTTTTTTCATTTTTTTTTTTTTTTGATATGGCAGTTTTTTGAGGAGTTAGTTCTTGGGAAGGATTCTGATGGAAAGCTTTCAGAGTTACATAGTAAACCTTTGAATAAGAAGATTAAGTTCTCGTATTCCGATTCTTCTGATATCGACGATGATGAGGATGAGGAAGAGGAGGACGAGGAGGAGAAGGAGACTGGAGCTGCTACTTCCAAAGAGGGTGGTGCTAGTAATGATAATGCGAGAAGTGAGACACTAGATCCTAATAAACATGATGATAGCTCTAACGATGAAAAGGAGGGAGAAGCTAATGACAATAAAGAGGGTGATAAAAGTCATGAAATAAAAGAGGCCGAGGAACCGCCGGCAAAGAAACAGTGTTCAGGAAAAGATGCCCCGAAAGCGATCCCCGACAAAGTGGAAGAAAAGTCCGTTGATAAGCTAATAGAAGCTGAAGTCAAGGAACTGGCAGATAAGAGTAAGGTCAGCTACTGGGCTGAATAAGTTTTTTTGAGTTATAAATTATTCTTTTGCTCATCCTGCAGCTTAGTTTAATGTTTGTGAGCAAAATATTCTTCATAAATTTCCATTCAATTTTGTTGAGATATATTTTGCTCTAGCGGTTACAAGATTAGAATTTCCAGGAGAAAGGCTAAAGGATGAGTTTTATTCATTTGAAATGGTGTTGTATGAAAAGTTTTTCCTGAATCACCTTAATGAATAAGTAGATTATGTCTTATATGATAACTGAAGCTGTACGTCTCTTTAATTTTGTCCCAATTTCAATGGAGTAAAATATCAGAAATTATGGCTCATGGCAGGTGTTTTGGTTTTGCGTTTGTGATCCATTCCTCGCATATTTCTTTTTTGGTAACATATGGAGTATCCTAGGTCTTTGAAGTAGGTGAATCTTCCCTTGTCTTTTTCTTTTGCTCATGGTAGTTTGTTTTACAGAGGCGATTTTTCCACCTTGATACTGGATGTAACGGTGTCGTCTTCGTGCAAATGCAGAAGAGAGATGGGGATCCTTGCCCCAAAGACATTGTGCAGCATATTATGACATGTGCTGCTGCGACAAGGAAACACGTATCAAGGTTCATGCTTGTTAGGTTCCGCTATAGTGAATTGCATGCCAAGAACAGAAATCTGGGTGCTTTCAGCTAACATATAATGCTTGTTTCAAATGTAGGTTTATCTTGAGAATCTTACCTATTGAATTAGCGTGCTATGCTTCAGAGGAGGAGATTTCAAAAGCCATCGTACCTATTGTGGAACAGTATTTTCCCGTGGAAACTGAGAATCCACAAAAGGTTGAATTCTTTATCTTCTCACCAATTAACTACTTTCTTTCTCTGATGACTTTTCCCCCCATTCATTTTCATTGGAAAATAAGAAAATTTAATGAAAAATATTTTTATTTTTATTTCGGTACAAGGAATTCAAAGTAGTTCCTTTTAATTTGACGAGATCAATCTTGAAGGACTATCCCTTGTGGCTTGTTTTGTCAAAGAAGACACCAAAAATGAAACTATCCTCATCACAGTTCTAAAAACATTGTCGTCTTCCTTTCAATCCAATTGCAAATAACAAATTGCAAATGCTCGAAAACTCAACATTTGACTAAAGCTGACCGATTATGCGGCTGTTGTTTCCGTAACCACTCCTAAATATTCAAAGGCAGATGAAAATGGCATTCTCCACTCGATTAAGTCATAAATCATATGAACTTGTTATTCGTCAAATCGTTTGAACTTGTTATTCGTCAAATTGTTTGAACTTGTTATTTTTTTTAATAAAATATTCTTCTGACTACTCCACTTGTATTGATATATGATACAAAAGGACACAACATCACAACATCAGTGACTTTGGGGAATTCCACATCCAAAAACAAAGTTTGATCTTTCGTTTTTCCTTTTCATATTATAAACGAACCTTCTTCCCCTCCTTTCCACTTTTCACATCTTCCAGAACTAAGAACGATAGTAGTCGCATTTGAGGACATCCCATCTGTCGGAATTGATTTCCATTTGTTTAGATGCCTTTTGACTTTCTTAGTTATGTATATAGTTTGCAGTGCTGTATGGAGCCCGTGCAAATACTGGCATTGACAGGATGAAAATAATAGATGCAGTTGCGAAATCAGTTCCTAAACCGCATAAAGTCGATCTTAGCAATCCTGATAAGGCCATTGTAGTCGAAATTGTTAAGGTAAGAAAGATTTTAATTTCCTAGTTAAACTTTATGCCATTCTTTTGTGTAATGACTAGAAGAAGGTTTTTTATGTAGAATTCAGATAAATATTGTGTCATAAGCTCATCGAGATGGTGTCAAATGCAGAATTTCTTAATAACATCATGTCAAACACCTAGCGTTTTCTATTTCTTTTAGGGTCCAATTTTCATGCTTGCCTGATGCAGATTATGCGTGTAGAGCCTCACAACTATTTAGAATTCAAAAAACTCAATAGGAAGCAAGTAGAACTGTTTTTTTTTTTTTTTTTTTTTTTTTT